AATAACTTGCACTTTATTTATTTAATATCTTGAAGTATTTTAAAGAGATCATATCTTTTTTCTTTATCGTCCTTACATACAAAAGAAGAATATATAAATTTGATGATACTTTTACAATTTTATTTATTTATTGATAATTCAATTATAAATTTAAAATAAATTAAATTATTTATTTTTAGATAAAAATTAAGAATACTATCTAGAATACACTATTTATTAAAATTACTTATTTACTTAAAATTAAATAGTAAAAAAATTATCTTTCTTATCTCTTAAAAATCTTTATAAAATTGCAAGAGTCTTTTATTTTCAGTTCACATAAAAATTATTTACAATAAGATATTTCATTAAGTAGAATCTTAAGTTAAAAAAAAATCTGTCGTTATAAATAACTTTGTGTGCAATAGAAATTATATTCTTTTTGCAAATTTTCTAAACAAATAAACACTAAAACATCATATTTTTCACATAAACTTAAATATTAGATAGAAATTTAACAGTAAAATTTAGATTTACATAAATAATTTTTGCATGCAACTAAAAATGAAAAATTATTTGCAAATAAATGTTTAAAAAGGTCAATAAGTGTTGAAATATTTTATTTAAGAAATATGATTTTATTATGATCTGATTTTAAATAATGTGATTTAAACAAATGTAAAAAAGTACGCATATTGATATAAATAGATTTTTGATTACGTTGCGTTCCGTTGATTTCCGGAGGTGAAAATGAAAACTGAATAGTACATTCAGAGACTTAAATAGTACGCATGTGACGAAATGTGAACGTGAATGCAACGCGAAAAGTGATCTTCTGCCGATTGCATTACATCGCGTATCGGATACGCTGCGTCCTTTAAGGTTAAATTACGCCACGTGTGACTGAAGCGATCATCCTCGCAAGGACGCTACCATTTATATCGTCAATCGTGTGCATTCGCGACACTACTTTAAGAATCGAGAATTATTATGTTGACGACTCGAAAAGTTTGTTTCACTTGCGCCTTCGAAATTGATTATATCGATTTAAGTCTTAGCTTAGTATTGATACGAGTAATACGAATAGAAGCAAGGATAGAAAGTGAACAAGAGCATATTTTGAAAATGAATATTTTCTAAGCAAAATATGATTTACCGAAATACGTAATGTATAGTACGTTGTTGCTATAAAATAAGTCCTTCTCATCTGTCTTGAGTGAGAAAAATATTCGCTTTTTGCTTTTATCGTATCCTCCACATCCAACTCGAGCTCGAGTCGCACGTGGCGCAAATGACATTTATAATATTAATATGAAAAGCAGTATTTAGATATGCGAAGAATTCGCAAGATCGCGCAATTTGCATTTGCAACATTATGCTCAATCATTCGCACGATAACTGCACGTAGTTATTAACCCAATGTATCCGGGATCGTTGATTATTAATAAGACACGGGTTGTAATAATAATCCGCTTCTTAATCTCCCGTGGATCATCTTCTGTGTGCTTCTTTCTTTTTTAGCGAGCTTGAATGACTATGCAAACGACCAGTTTAGCCACACGATCACAATAACGCACTGTGACCGGTCGATGATGTCAACTGATGAAACTTCCGCTTCTTTTGCTTGCCCCAATGGAACGCACTTGTCTTGCGACAAGTGAAATCGAATGTATGTTTCGATCTGTTCACAGAATGTCCGCAGAGAAGAACGTCGCCTATCAGAGAAATTTTCTGCTATACTTCCACCTTCGACGTGCAGCTACTAGCCGAGTCTATATGTCGTTGCACCACTTTGGTGCATCAAAATCATGACGTACGAAATCTCTCAATTTCTGGTAAATGCAATATCTTAATAACAGAAGAAACACTGTAATTCAATTATTTGAAACATTTCGAAATTACTGTGCTGCTGATTCTTTATTTGTATTTTCATGCAAATAAACAAATCCGATCCGAAACAATTGCAAAAAGTGATTTTAAGATTTTTTTTGATACATTATGAGTATCAAACGAATTGCAATTGATATAAATTTCAAAATTTCAAACTTAAATTTATTTTTAAAGAGATGACCGATTATGCGTAAAATGATGTTCTAGGTATTTCTGATCTGCGAAAGTCTTTGAAAGAGATACATCCATCTCTTCAATTTGCAATTTCTATACATGATCCTGCAATGACGCTCAGAAATTCCGCTATGGTGCGACAGGAAGCTATCGCACGGATCATCGCTGTTATGAAAGAGGTATTTTCTATTGTCAGATTATCTTTTATCAGATTTCATCTTATCTCTCGTTATAAAAGATAAAATGACTCGAGAATTGAATAATCAAGTAATAAATAGTTTTAGAAATAGTTTTGTGTTTCAATATTATATAATTAAGTATTTAATAATGAATAATTAAATCGACTATTAAAGAGAAGTGTTATTTAAGATGAAACGTGTAAATGCAAATCGCGAAAGTATACGTTGACAGGTTAACAAAAGGAAGAATTTCTCTCATTTTTCAAGGTGGATGGCGTAGAGATGAATGTGACAGCGGGATCTAAAGAGCGTCTTTATAACTTTGTCAAGAGCCTAAAAGACGAAATGATTCGAAAATCCTATGAGAAGAGGATTTTCATGGCTTTGCCTAATAGACCGGAACATTTAGCAAAGCAGTTCGATATCAAAGAGCTCATAAAGTAAGAATCGTTCTTGTCGGTCGACGTAACGTATTATTATCCATCTCTTGACGAAATATTTAACGTCTTTCAACTTTTTTTATCTTTTGATTTTTTTATTATTATTATTATTATTTTAATTAGATACATCGATTTATTTACGCTACCAACCGATTACATGACGGATGAAGACGGAGCTTTCGTTACTTTTCATCCATCGCGTCTGATGGGACTTTTCGACGTGCTGAATACAGATAGCTTAGTAGACTTGATAAGTGGATTAGGAGCACCCAAGCAAAAGATCTTGATGACCTTGCCAATTAGCGCATACAAATTTATTTTGAAGAACGAGGAGGAAAATGCTCCAAGATCAGAAACTACGGAGAAGGAGCCCGTACCAATCGACCGTAAACAGGTGCGACATTTGTTTTTCTACATTAAATTTGCTTATAAATAGTTTAACTTTAGTCTATTAAAGATTACACAAGTCTGTCCTTAAATTAATCGATGCTTATTGTAGCTCTGCGAAGCTATAACCAACGGAGAATGGACCGTGGAACGAGATGAAGATCTGACAGCACCGTATGCATTTCAAAACAAAACGTGGATCGCTTTCGAAGATAAGATTTCGGTCGGAATAAAGGTTCGATTACACCGATTTCCTAGTTACTCACTCTATGTGAAAAATCAGTTGCGATGATCGCTGTTTGAGATTAAATAAAAAAAAGTCAACTCAACAGTTTATTTAATTTAAAGCGATTAACGTGTTAATCTGTAGAAATTGATGAAATTAATTTCAGGGGAAGTACGCGCTGCTACGAGATTTAGCGGGATTGGCGGTGCGAAATATAGAAAACGACGTGGAGACCGAGTGCGAAACACCTCTCGTACAAGAAATTTATCAGTCCTTTACAGAATTTAGAAGAAAATCGAGACAAGCTGTGCTTAATGCACTGGAAGATGAGCTTCATGTATGTGAGATGATTTTCATTTTATTTCAAATTTTTAAACAATTTAACGTAATATAAATCGACATTAAGTTTAAATGGAAAGTAACAATGAACAATATTCGATAAGAAGGCTCTTAGATATCTTATAATACCTTAGATACCTTATAATTTCCTTCATTTTTTAAAATTTATATATATAAAAATTTCAGATAAATGTATATGTCGCCAATCGTGTGTAATCGTTATTTTTAACTTGCAATGTAACGGTTTAAAGTCAAAATAAAAATTTTTCCTTTAAATAATTTTGGTTGAATATTTTTCGCAACAGAAATTTTTCGTGAAAGGAAGGAAAGTGATTAGTACTATATTATTGATTTATTAAAAAGAAAAATTTAGCTCTGACTTTGAGCTGCTAGGTTGTAAGTTTGTTAAAAATAATAGCACATGTTGGAGATGTAAGTATTTATCTCTTAAATTTACATACTGTATAAATTAAAAGAAAAAAATAAAGAAGAGATTATTAGATATTTTAACATCCCTATTAAATATTGTCCGTTATTATTTCAAATATTGTCTTATCATTTTTTCCCTTATTACTTATTTTAGAATATTAAAATATTATTGTTCAGTGCTTTTAATCAACAACTCAAAATAGGTCAAATTAACCTTCTTATTAAATTTCTATAAAGACTGTTGTTTCAAATTTTTATTTTATTAATGTTAATTCTTTACGTTTATAATAATCTGTTAATTAAAATTTCAGCAAATGCAATTTTCATATCCAAACCATGCGAAAACGTCTAGCTTCCGTGTTGTTCGTGTAGTAGACACGGAGGGGCACATTAGAGCTGTACGCGAGAACACACAAACTGAATTTATCTGTAGACGGCAGGGCTATTTCGTTCATCCAAAAAGTTGCAACAGGTAGTTATTTATAGCCAATAGCAACTATAATTCTAATTTAATTCTGATTAAACCAGATTTAAAGATATCATGATAATAATTAAATTGAAATAAAATAAATAACAAACAATTTTTTTACAGATTCTATCGTTGCGTGAAATTCAATCAAGAAATTGAAGATTATTCCGTATTTGAATTTGATTGTCCAGCTGGGCTATCGTTCGACGAGCGTACCGAAGTTTGCGTTTGGCCAGGCTCGTTGCCTGAGGGTTCGCCGTGTCCTGGCAGCAGCGAAATTGCTCCTGTCGCCCCAAAGAGATTCGAATGTTCTCAACCCGGCTACTACGCGGATCCACAAAATTGTCGTTGGTTCTTCGCTTGTATGGACTTAGGTGTGCTACAATTCATGCGTAATAAATTATTCATATATTCGTACGCAGATGTATTATTTCTTATTATGTATTATTCAAAATCATTGAGAAAAGTGCTATAATAACAAAACATGCCGTATTATCTACTTTTTATCGTTGTAATATTTTTTATTCAAATATACCATATACACGCAAACAATATAAATTTTTATATAAGCTTTAATTAAATTAACAGGTGGACCGGAATTAATGGCATTTGAATTTCGCTGCCCGTACGGCTTGGTATTTGACGAGAAGAAGCTGGTATGCGAATGGCCCTGGCTTGTTCCAGCTTGCTCGGAATCTGGATCAGCCTATACCAGAATGGAATATAACTATGGAGGATACACCGCGGGAACCTCCATTGGAGTTGGTGGCTATGTTACCGGCGGTTTACCAGACTACTCCGTTACAGCGGGAACAGGTTATTCCAACGTGGACTATTCTAAAACGAGCGATACTGATATACGTGGAACCGGCTATTTTGGAACCACTGCAGGAAATACCAATAAATATCCTGGTATCTCAACTGCCAGTGTTGGAACAGTCTCAGGACATACAAGATTGTCCGGTTCAAGCGGCATTGATCATTCAAAATCCACTGGATATGGAGGAGCAGCAGCATCTTCTGGTCCGACGAGTGGAACATATGATATACGCGTTGGCTCGATACCGCCTAGCACAATTGGCGGTAGTGGATACGCCGTATCTACTGGTCAAAGTGGCATTGGATATACTGGTCACGGTGGCACTGGATACTTCACGCCTATCGGTGGATTTAACACTGGATTTGGAAATACAGGATCATTGGGAGGAATTACCACAGGTTTTTCCAAATCTACAGTGGGAGAATATTCCGGTATCACTAATGGAAGTCATTTGACGGAGCAAGGTGTAACTTATTCGGGAAGACCTGGTTCAAGTTATTCTAGTTCAATAGCGGGAGGTTATACGGGAGGAAGCATCAGTACGGGTAATCCCATTATAGATACAGCAAGTTATTCGAAAACGTCAGGAACAAATTATTTCGGATCCACAGAATTACCGGGAACACCCATTGATGTCCACACAGGCTCTAGCCCCACATATGTCGGATCGACAAATGTACATACAGACTCCAACGTATTTAATACCGATGGTTATTCGATTTCTACCGATATCCATTCGGGAGCAACCGGATATCAACCATCGTTCGATAAAACCGGCCCGTCATTTGGAACTGTATCTTATCCTGGTGCTAGTGACAGAGTTGAAATCGCTGGATCAACTAACAAAGAATATACGGGATCAGCTACAACAGCATATAATGGATTAACCGGTGTAGGATATTCCACTCACAAACCTGTGAGTGGAAGCGCTGGTCCTACTGGAATTGATGTTAATTTATCAATAAATTCTGGGATAGGGTCAAGTTTGCAAAGTACAACGAGTTCAGGTCGAATTTCGGAAACTAATTTCATTAGCGATACTTCGAAATCTGGTCACACAGCCTCCGATATTACTTCTGGATCAACAGGTATTTCTTCGACAGATTACAAATACAACGAGGAAGGATATACGATTCCTGTATTCATTCAACACGAAGAACCGGTATATCCTTCGATCGAAACAACAGGAACTGGAGTGAAAAGTCACGTTGGAACCACTGGAACTAGCGGAGTTGATTTAACAAGCGGCTATGGAAAAACTGATTTTGCGAGACCTAATTTAAACATCAGTATTTTCGGTAATGAGATTCCTACCGGTTATGCTCAGAAAAACACTACTAGTGCAATCCAGACTGGGAGCAGTATAGACGGAAGTATTCTTACCAGTAATTCTTTTTCAGGAGCGGTGTTTAGTCACGGAAATGTTCCTGGAGCGGTATCAACTCCTGCCATTAATCAGGGTACTATTTTAACTGGAAATGCTCAACCTGGTTACATCGCTACCTCTTCCATAACATCAGGATATGTAACTAACAATGGAGTGAAGAATGTAAATATTGAATCAGCCAGTCCAGGAACCTTATTATATGGAACGCCGACTCCTGCAGTTTCAGTGAACGGTCCTTCGACAGCCGGTGTCATTTTGAAAGGCGATTCTACTCCGGGTGTCATTATTTCTGGACAAACTGCTCCTGGAATCTCTATAACAGGTTCCGTTCAACCAGGCTCAACCACCAAATGGTATGAGTCGCAATCAACTTATAGTATTAGCGGGGGTCCTTCGAGTGGATCGGTCACCTCAATTTCGAGCAGTACCCCGAGCGAAGGCCTGATACCAACAGGTCCTCAGAGTTACAGTAAAACTGACGGGCATGGTACCACGTATAACGTTGCTTGCAAGTATTCAGAGAAAGACATTCCAGATTATAGGCCAACCAGCTCTATTCTTCCCGACTCAATTATACCTGGTGATAGAATAGAAGGTACCGGAAGTGGTATCTATCCCGGTTCTATCTTTGAAGGATCAACTACCGCCGTTCCAGGATATTCGCCGACTAAATCGGTCGTATTTACACCACGAGGATTTACAAAGACTAGTCCGACTAGGACAGGTATAACCACCGCCGTTCTTGGTGGTGGCGGCAGTTACTCGGTAAGTGCCGGCGATCGTCGGCCTACTTATAGTCCTGACAATATCAGCGAAAAGGCATTTGAAGGGAACGTAGCTGGATATACCAAGACATCATCCATTGGTGGTACCGTCGGTCTGTCCACCACTTTAACTCCACTTGGCTATTCATCGACGACCCCTTCAAATCACATCACCGTACAGTCAGCTTCTTCCGGCTATTCCTATCCCAAGCCAAACATCCAATTTGGAACTAGTGGCGCCAGATTCCCTTCAACACAAATTGCGCCGGAGGCAAATAATTTACCAGTCACAACGTCGCCATCATTCTCGAGCCGCTTCCCAATTCCAACAGTTCCATCTGTAATTTATACCACTGAACATCCAGAAGTATATAAAACTACTCCTTTCGAATCATCTAAGATCCCAGCATCTGTATCGCCCGTTAGACCTGTCAGTAGCATTGATTATAATACAATAATCTCTTCGACCACTATTCCAGTATCGGTATTCACAGATAATCGATTTACACAACAACCGACAAGCGGTTCGCAAACCGCATCAGTACCCACCTCTAGTTTTGGTTTAGGTGTGCCTTTCCAACGGACCGATTCGAGCGGTCAGACGGGCTATAGCTCCTCGTTAGGATATCTTCCTGCAAAGTCGACTGAATCTGATGCGACCGCATCCACCAGGAAGTACGACACATCCACGATAACCGCGCGACCAGATTATATTGGAATAACGTACAAAAAACCTTCATCAACCTCTGATGTTACATATGAAGGGCTACCTTCCTCGTTTCAATCGCCTACCACGTTCAGGCCTTCCAGTATATATTATTCCAGCCAAGGAACCACTCCGTCTTCCCTAGGAACAATCCCTAGTAGTGGCTCTCCAACAAACTTGGATATTTCAAGAGATAAGATCGACAAGTTAATTACAAATTATAACAGAGGCACTGTTAAGTACACATCAACTGAGTACGACATCTATGCGGGCTCAGGATTCGGTTCAACTAAGAAATTTACTTCATCACTGTCACCCACAAAACCCTCGTTTTCTGTGAAAACCGACAGTGATTTTGCCATCACAACGCCATTCGGTAGTCGCCCTACAACATTTTCATACGAAGTTACCACAAAGTCTCCCGAAGGCAAGGGTAAAGTCATTATTAAGTGGAGCGATCTTCATCCACTTCTTTTGGGTAAACTTGGTGCAGAGTGCACATGCAAAGCCGATCCCTTCGCCAATATTCGCGGTCCAGCAAGGAAATTGATTGAATCTTCCAGAGGCAAAGTGGATTTGGCTAACTATGACGATTCTGAGATCTATGTTGATCTTGGAAACGAATCTTCGGAAGAAGACTATTCTTCTAATTCTGACGATTTTCCAGCACAACCTTTTAAGATTAGTGTACCGAAGACGACCAATCTGCCATCATCTTATTTACCTGCAACAGATACCAAAACATCTACGAAAAGTGGTGAACCTAGTTTAAATTATCGAATGGGTAAAAAGCTAAAATACGACGAGGAATACGAGGAAGAATACGAAAGAGAAAAAGAAGAATATGACGATCCCGATCAAATAATAAATGGCGTCACTGATTGCGCCAGGCCAGGCCTGTTCAGACATCCCGGACTTTGTAATAAGTTCTACGCTTGCCACTGGGATCAATGGAAAAAGAAATTTACGCTTCATATCTTTAATTGTCCCATTCACTTAACGTTCGATTCAAACGCGGGCGCGTGCAACTGGCCAAGTAAGGGACCAGCTTGCCAAGCTGATAATTTATTAGTGTAAATTCGTCATTAGACACTTACCGGTCGATATCTCAATGTCTTCTCTGTACCCTTGGTGTTTCTTTAAAAATTTTTTTTGTACATAACGAAGAAAAGTCAAGGTCTAATTGTACATGCTAAAGTTATTATATTTTTTTAGATCACTTAGTTCGGAAGATCAATTTGCTATTACATACAATGAAATGTTGCATGAGTGCAGTAGTATATCATTAAAAATTGAGCGATTGGTACTTTCACGTGGATTGGGTCTCCCGGCCTTGGGTTTCTTTTGGAGTTATCTTGACACCCAGATCCCTAAACGTTTGCATTGAATAGCGTCGATAAATATCTTATTAAAGTGAAGAATCTTCTAGCATAGAGAATAGACTCTTGTTAAGAAGATGGTAACTTGATGTGATGCAAGAAGAAGGCCAAATCCAAGGCGATCGAGATCCTATAAGAAAGCGTCGTCAAAGTGAAAGTAGTTCGTGTTCATCGATCCAAATCGCGAAAAACCAACACTCAATATCAATACATATTCTGATATTTCTATATTCTATGTAATCTATGTAAAAGATATTGAAATGAGTCGCTTGATAAAAAAATCCATCTATTATTTATTAATGTATATGACAGTAACGTATTAAGTATGTTTCATACTGATAAAATCATTAACACATAATCGAACTTTGAGAATACAAATAAATAATAAGAGGCTCGTCATAATTTAATTTTTAAATATTATTTATTTCATGGTGATTTTAGATTCGAAAATTAATTATTAAGAGAGATGCACAGTCTCTCATGTAACAAGATATTCCTTACCATGGTGGCTCATTTACGTTACCTTTCGCCATTTTTTTCGTAATAATATCGAGATAATGCGTACAGCGTGATTGATATTCTTTCCAGTCAACACTTTTCTTCCCGGGTGCTCACAATTTCCTGATATTTCTAAAATAATTATTCGAATGTTTCTTATATACTACGCATAAGCTTGCTTTGATTTTCCGTTTCCATTTAATTTTATGTATTCCTACAAGATATAATTTATTTCGTCGCTTATTATAAGGAAATGTAGCGATACACATTAACATATATTCTTTCTATGAACTTTTGACAGCGCTTTAATTACCGTGCCATTTGTCAAGCGGTTAATTAAGTACTGTTACAACTTTATAATAAATAATAAATTGCGCGATCAAAATGTGCATTACTATTTATTATACATACACTGACCTTTATCTTTCTATTGGCATATTATAATTAAATAAAAATGTTATTATAGAAACAGATATGGAAGGAAGTCTGAGGAAAAAAAAAACGGTAAGCGTTGATGATTATCTTAAATATATATTATATTCCTTTGTATAAAATTACATGTTTTCGCTTTTAAAGTCTTTCAATTTGATAATAAAACTAAACGTTGTCTTCAAAAGAATACATTAACTCCATTAGTGTTTTTCAAAATTTATTATCCCGTTGTATCCCGTTGCATTTGGATGCTGATATCAGAGGAAAAAAGTCTTATGACAGCTTATTACTCTCGAAACTTGCTTTCCTCTCACTGATAGGTGGTGGGAAACAAGTTGTTATTCTGTCACTATCTAGCTGGTTAACTTGCCAATCGGCGATTGGAGAGGGGCCGCAATTACCAATCAGAGAGCACTCGCCGCGGCTGAAACTGAGACGCAAAATGAAAGAAAAGGCTGGTGCCGACTTACGATTCACTAGTTCGGGCTAGGAGGTGATATAAAGGCGTACAGGAGTCCGATTCAATCTGATTTGCCTGTAACATCAACTGAGGGGGCCAGGCTGGTAGCAGGAAATCCGTTGCTGCCGCACCACTTTTTACCATCATGTAAGTCTATTGTTTACTTTACTAACGTTTAATATATGACGAAATAAATTAATTATTTCTCCTTAACTTTACATTGATTGTATTTTTTATTCTTTTGTTTTTCCAGTATTATATCAAAAATTTTTTCTGTATATATATATATATATATATATATATATATATATATATATATAATAATAATTAATAATTAATA